AGAGGAAGTGGGTCCGTGGAGTGCCGGGGAGTAGCCGGGCTGGATGCGACAGGAGAGGAGGCAGAGCCATGGAGTGACCAGGGTGGGGTAGGGTCTTGGAGTGACAGATGAGGAACTGGCACCAGCGGGGAAGGGCTGGACTTATGCGAGGGGCCGGAGCGGGCCCATCGCGGGGCCGCCTCCTGGTCTGATTGCGCAGTCCTGTCTCCGCACTGAGTTAGAAAGCCAGAGAGCATAGGGTCCCTTCCAGGTGATACTGGGTCCCCTTCTCTGAGCAACATCCCTCATCCGTCCTCAGGCAAAACTGCTCCCACGACCTTGAGAACATGACTGGGATCTCTCTGCTAACCTGGTGCCAGCTCAGAGTTCTCTTACTTTTGAGGATATATCCACAATTTCCTTGCCTCCACAAATATCCAGCCAGATCTAAGGTACAAAACGCATTAAGTGAAGACTAGGGGATGTCTTTAGGTCTTTAATAATAAGCTCACCTCCTAATTGCACAAATGGCAAACCCAGGAAAGGGAAGGAACTTGTGCAAGGTCACAGAGCAAACAAAGACCAAGTCAAGGCCAAACCTAAGTTCCTGACTGCAGGTCTAGTTTTACTTCCGCATCAGGTTAAAGTTAAAGCTTGTAAAATACCAAAGTCTATGGAAATAGGCCAAATCTTTCACATTCTCTTCCTTTCTTTTCACATTCTCTTCTTTCCTTCACAATCACCAAAGCGATTCAAAAGATATAAACTTTACCAAAGAAACATGGATCCTACTAAGAGGACTCAAACCCCACTGAGGTAAGGAGGAAGGCACACACATTCTAACTAGACACAGCCTCCACCAGCCACAACCTAGGCTCAATTACCTCTGGCTCCCCTCTAGCTCCTCTCCCACCTGCACTCACTGCCAAGAAGGGCTCACCTCAGTCATCATTTTACAGACTGGAAGTCAAGGCAGAGAGGATTCTTAAATACCTAACTCCAAGAATGATTCTTTAGAGCAGGCAGCCCTGCCTCCTGAAGCCTACACACGGCTTGTAACCCCATCGAGCTCACCCTCCCTTACCACCTGCTCCTCTGATATTTGCTTAGCTGACCATAAGCCCCACATACTCTGAACTGAAAAAAATCTCCCTATGATCAGATATATGATCCAGAGCCTACCCAATCCGGAAGGGAGACTCAGGGCTCACTGAAGGGATACAAACCTCTGAGAGTGGACGTGGAATCCTCTAAGGGGACAGATAATTGAGAAGACATCAAGTGCACTGAAGGGACGCACAATTCACTGAAAGGGTGCACAGATGTTGCTGGGGGTTCTTAGATCTCTCTGAAGGGTTCTGGGCCCTGTTAATAGGATATGAATGGCACTGAAGGGCACTTCCCCTACTGAGAGCACACAGATTTGGACTTTACCAAGGAGACATGGACCCTGTTAAGAAGCTCAAACCCCCACTGATGGACCTCACTGAGGAGACAAGGAGGAAAGTACACACAGTGGGTACACATTGTACCTACAGACAGTTACCCTCCGGAACCATCCCCACACGCGGCTCTGAGAGCTCTCACTCCTTCCTGTCCTCTCTCCCTAGCCTTACTCCCAACCCCCAGAGCTGTTCCTGACCCACTACTACCCTCTCCTGTCCATAGGTGGTAGTACAGATACTGTGCCCATAGATTTTCAAACTTTTCAGGTCATCTCTGAGCCTGGAGTCTGGAGTGGGAGAGAGAGCGCGTGTGCCTCCAGAGTTTGACCAGCCCCCTCTCTTGTCCTATGGACTGCTGCCCAATAGAAGTTTGGCCCAAAGGCCTCATAAAAGAGGGAACCTCCTTCATCCTTAGAAATGGAAGTAGTGTAAACTGTAGAATGGTTGGACTGAGAGTGGAGAGAGGGTGAATGGACTTGGAAGAAATAAGAATCTATGAGAGTAAGGTGATGATGATGGTGGTGGGATTTATGAGTAAATGTCAAGCCCTATATTGGGCGCTTTCCATTCGTTATTTAATCTTCATGACAACCCTCTAAAATGGAAACTCGTATTCTCTCCATTTTATAGATCAGTAAACTGACTCAGGGAGATTAAGTTTCTTTCTCAAGATCACAACGTCTGAGTGGTAGCACCTGGAATAGAACCCAGACACCCAGACTATAGAGACCCATCCTCCACGTTTTTATGCTCCCTCATCCTACCCCATTCCTCCCCTACCACAACCATCATTACTTTCTCAATGTGTTGTTTCCAGAAGCACATCAAAAACTCTTAAAATGATGGCAAATATTCTCGTTCCAAGGACCTCATCCCAGCCTGCTAATCAGGATCTCTGGCGGGGAATATGAGGATCTGCTTTCAAACACCCTAACCCATGACCGGGCGCGGTGGCTCACGCCTGTAAACCCAGCACTTTGGGACGGAGAGGAGAGAGGATTGCCTGAGTACAGGGGTTCGAGACCAGCCTGGGAAATTTGGCGAGACCTCGTCTCTACAATATCAAAAAATTAGCCGGGCGTAGGGGCGCACGCCTGTGGTTCCAGCTACTTGGAAGGCTGAGGCGGAAGGATCAATCGCCCGAGCACAGCAGGTCGAGGCTGCGGTGGCCGTGAGCGTGCTACTGCACTCCAACCTGGGCTGCAGAGTGAGACTCCAGCTCAAAAAGACAAAACAATTAGCCGGGCTCGGTGGCTCAGCCTGTAATCCCGCGCCTTGGGAGGCTGAGGTGAGTG